CAGCCCAAACTAACATTTGGCTTTTTTGCAGTCCCATCCCATTGCTGACTCTAACAATTGTAGAATTGATCTACAGCAATTCCAAAATCTTTCTCACTTGTACTAATATTAAACCAGGTTCCTTCATCTTGTAATTAGGCATTTGGGTTCTTTTTCCTAGGTATAGAACTTGCTATTTGCCCCTATTAAAGTTAATTCTGTTGTTTTCAGCCCAGTGTGCCAACCTATCAAGATCACCTTGAACTTTGTTTCTTTCAAGGCTGTATTCCACACAATTGTTACTGCAAATCTGATAAACATTCCCTGCACCTCCTCATCCAAATCAATAAAAATGCTGAATACCATAGGCCTAGGACTGAACTCTGTGGTAGCCAGACAATCACACTCTGGTCATACTGTTAACATGCTCAAAATTAATTAAGTTAAGGTCCAGTCCTATGCAGTTTAGACAAGAGGAAAGGCTTATAATTTCAAGTGTTTTCAAGTCTAAACTTGCATAGGAATACCCCCTAAGTTGACTGGAAACATCATTTTAGAAATAAACAAAATAAAAATTCGTAAGTTGATCAGCATAGATCCTCCCAGTCATTTGTATTACAGTGAACAGTGCTAAAGGAAATTTAACAAGGAATCTGGTGTCATTGTGTGGTAAAATGGTCATTTGAATGGGTCTGTTAACCAAACAAGCCAAGGATGAATGTGAATTTATTTATAGCTATTTTCCCAACTTTCTGTTACTCGTACCACAATCATACAGCAAAAACAGCAATGACAAAAACTTACAGTATCAATATCGTAGTTTTTGGACCACAGTTTCAGTCAGTTCTGGTTGCCTTTAAACTATGTGATTTTGGCAGGGTAGGGTTTTCTTTTTAGCATTTCAATAATATATTTAAAAGACAACAATTCTTTACTTTGAATCAAGACACGAAAACCAGCTACTTTCTATGTGTGAAACTGCCTGCCTCCTCAGCTTTTGTTTTCTTGCTTCATTGTACTGGCAACACTGGTGCTAATTATCAAGTAAAACAATATAATTACACTGAAGATTCTTCTGCTTTTTTTGGCTAATGTAAAGATTCTCTTTTCCTCCCTGAACACCCACACACACTGCAAAACTATTTCCTCTGACCCTGAAACAGTGCTGTATCCGGAATGACCTCTGTACTCCAAACTTGGGTCTGAATGTAGAAAATCACATCCTTTCAAGTCAGTAAACTATTTTAGCAACTAGCAACCATATGGGAACAAACAATATGTATGGAATTTTGTTTCTCTTTTGTGTAATTATTACTTAACCATTTAAATATTCTAAGATGATTGCCACTGTGTTCCAACAGCTACAGCTCTTTTGATAGAAAGCGTCCGAAACACTGGTTGACACAAATCTATAAACAGCCACAATTGTGTGCATAATGTACATACACACACACATTCCTTACTGCACACAGTTTTCAAAACATAGTTTGTGATATAGATTTTGGCAGGAAGTGTTTTTGTACATCCACAGGTTCTCAGCTCTCAAAATCTGTAAGCATTCTAGCGCTTCTCACTTTTTATTTTATTTTATTTTATTTTATTTTATTATTTTATTTTATTTTTTAAAGCAATCAAAGCCCCATTATTCTTTAAGCCCAAACTTGTGAACTGTAGGGAATTAGCACCAAGAGAGACCTAACAGCAAAGCATCCCGGCTGAATGACTGTGGGATGAGAGCAGTGCTACAGCGGCAGTAGAGATGCCATGTCTGATGCTGAGGGGAGGCAAGAAGGGAAAGCAACAGCAGATGAATCTCTACATCAGCAGAATCCCATGTGCAGCAAGACTCAACAATAACAATCCCTGAAGTAATCCCATTATTATTATTAAATAATAATTATTAGCATTATTAAAGTTTTACTTCTTTCTTTCAGGGAAGGGGGCATAGATTCATTCATTCATTCACGGAGAGGGAATGCTTTTTCCAACTTGTAACATTTTTTAAGAAGTAGTAAATTTGGGTGACAATGTACAAGAAATTGGTCTATTGTAGAGTAGCTATGTGTCCTCTTTTAAAAAAGACTATCCTCTGTTTGAAGGTTGTCCAGTCCAAGTGCAGTTTTAAGACAACCATCAGAACGAAGAGCTCAGCCTCAGAGATGCCCGTCAAGAGCACATGGACAGCAGACTGAGCAAACAGTTGCACAGATCACCCGGTCCCAGTTCTCCACATCATGGTGAGATGTCCTATTTAAATTACAATTATTTCTAAATCGGCATCTACACACACACACACACACACTCATGAATTTATGCAAATCATTTTCTCTTTTGTTCTCTTTTCTGATGTGGCATTTTCTCTTCCTGGATGGCCACCCCTCAAGAAATGCTCTACAGTAAAATGAATCATAATTTCCACTAGCATCCCCCTGTGTTTGGTTGCTTGCTGTATTTGTGGCTGAACATTTTCATTTTGAAACCAAACAATACAACTAACTTTGATATTGCTAGTCAACAAAGGGTGCTGTTGGGAATGAAAGAGGCAGTTGTTCTTGGCAAGTGTTTCAGGACTAGGATGGTTGTGACTCTTTGGATGGGGATGGTGAGGCCTGGGAAATGAGGCCTGAAGACATGGAGATGGCACAGGAAGAAAAATCTGATCTCAAGGCTGCCATCTCCAGGTGTCCAGGCAGACCCAGACAACCAAAAGGGTTTGGAAGTGCCAGAAGGGGCCATGGGAGAGGAACCAGAGGAGCCTGGTTTGATCCTTGATCCCATGACACAGCTTCAGCAGAGAAAGGCGAGCCAACTAGAGGGCCTGCGTAGAGCTAGGAGGCTTGCTCATCTCCAGAGTGGGGCCGAATGCTGCTGAAAAGGAGAGTTGTCAGAAATAGTCTTTAGTTTAGGTTCAACAAACCATTTTGTGCATACTCAGAGACTCTCTTTGCTGTCTACAGCTTGCTGAACAGATATTGGAAATAAACAGCTTCTGCCAAAGAACAGTGTGGCTGACAGAGAGAAGGCTGGGGACTAGCTCCCAACAGGTGCAATCTCATGCTTTTTTCCCAACATGGTTGTCTGAAGGAGGCTGGGAGTTGCACAACATTTTTCTGTCTGAACATGTAACCTAAATGATTCACCAAACAGTCCCACAAAAGATATTTTAAAAACTACATATATGACTAGGCTATGGAAGGGAGGGGGATGCCAGGCTTGTGTAGGTTGTTAAGAAGTCCATATGAGGGCACTTAAAGCTACAGAGAAATTCTAGAAGGGCAGGGAAGGTCCAAGAGTTTTAGCACATAAGAATGTTGTTGTTGTTATTGTAATCTGCCAAGGGCACAAAAATGTCTAAATAATGGCAATGAGTTCCACTTGTGGAATATTTCCTCATTTGTTAATCAGGCCTTTAATGAAAGGAAACCCCAAAGATAAAGGTCTATTAAGAATCTCTAAGTTATAACATTAAGAATTGGCCCTCCCACACTAGAGACATTCAGAAAGAAACTGGACAACCATCTGAGTGGGATGGTGTAATGTGGTGTCCTGCAACAGCAGGGGATTGGACTCAGTGGCCCTCATGGCCCCTTCCAACTCTGCTATTCTATAACTATGATTCTATTCATATCCCACTCTCTCCAGAAGGTGACACAATATCAAAATGGTGCCTTACCAAGTCTTTCCCTACATGATTCCCCATCACCACTGCTTAAAAATAATTGTTGGGCTTTATGGTAGGTTTGCCTGCAAACTCTGAAACCTTCAAACCATATGGTACTCATGCATTCCCTACACCATCATCCTACCAGCCCCAATGGCATATCAACCAAAGCATCATTAAGTGGTATAGTTTGAGTGGTATAGTTATCACAGGGAAGGAACACAAGCATTCTTTTTTAACAGGACTGCCTTGTGCACTTCCAGTTTTAGGCCATAGCCTAAAATGCAGGAAGTCACCAAGCAGACAGGCACTTAAATTCCAGCTCCACTGAAATCAGCAGCAAAATTTCCTGATATGCTCACTGAAGTACGCATTCAACAAAATGTGTCAAGATACCTGGCCAAGGTGACTCAACTGTTTGTTTATATCTTTGGTTAAGGGACTGTCCTAAGATTACAGAATAATTTGATGGTAGCAAACAGGTAATACAAAGCATCTGGGAATCAATGTTGTTCTATTATTCTCTGCAAAGCAACAGAATATTTATTTCAAAATATCCTGATCAATATGTCAAGGTTTATGTGTGAACAACCCTATGCTTTCTGAAAATGCACCCAGCATATCCCATGCTCTGCCAGCAGATCCCTCACAAAGCAGAAGGAGCAGTGGAGGCTATCATCATTTCCGCATCATCCATTCTGTAGCTTTTTTCACTGGGTGTGCTTTTGAGAACTAGTAAATCCATGACAATGGATAAGGGCTAAAAGGATGTTGCGGATCGTTGATGCCTCTCATTCCTGCCTTCTTCCCTCTCTTTTACATCCTCTCTCAAGTTCCACGTTCTGACCTTGAGTGCACATACCACCACTGTATTTTCCTCTGCAGCTACAAGGGGTGGAGAGAAACTATTCCCATTATGATTCCTTACAAGGTTTTTCAGAGAGGGAATTTTGAAATATCAGATGATCCAGGAAAGCTCTCTCAGGGCCAATAGGACTGTTCCCTAAAGGACATTTTACTTGCAGCCAATTCCAAATTGTACTGGTTGGCAAGAAAGATGCCTTTAAATGTGAATCCCTAGATTTAAGTAGCTAACTATTTATATTGGTGCTTCATAGTGAGAAAGGTATCTCCACTAAACTGAAGTGATTTCTTTAAAGATATTCTTCAAATGGAAACAAATTCTATCTTTGTAAAGATAAAATAAGGAAAGTAACTCACTGAACTAGCAGAGCATTTATTCTGAACTGAATAATGTCACTTGAACTTAAGCAAGCACTTGCTACACAGAGATTGAAGACAGCTAGCAACTTGCAAGAGAAAGTGAAAAAAGAAAGAATTATAAGAAATGTATTCTTACCTCAACAATATCTGAATTCGTTCGACTCTCATGTGGCTCATTGTACTCTGTATACTTCAGCAACACCTTGTCCATATCAGTGCTGGCATACTGGAACAGTTTGTTGGTGCTATTGAAGATTATTAGAGCAATCTCACAGTCACACAGAACACTCAACTCATAAGCCTTCTTCATTAACCCGAATTTCCTCTTCGTAAATGTCACCTGAAAAATTAAACATAAAAGCAAAAATCAGATGCTGATCCTTTATAGACCTTTTGCTTGTCCTTGCACTTGCTTTGAAACAATCAAACTAAATATAATATGAACAAAGCATATAAATCTATTTGAGGGCCAAGTAACTAAGGAAAGACTTAAGCACAATGCTTAGGAAAGGCATAAAGAACATTAATTCACCTGGGTTGGGCAATTCTATTTACCAGTTAAAAGCATTGGATGTTCAACTTCTTTATAATATTGCATACTCAGTGTTGACTATACAAATATGAAATATGCTCCATATTTTTTCAGTACCATGTACTTTTGCTTTTCAGATACAAAAAATGTGTCATCTTGACTAATCCTAGCAATTCACCTCCACAAAAAAGCAGCTCTGTGTCCATGGGAGCTGCATTTATCACACTATCATCCAGCCTCATTTATGGGATTTACAGGTGCGGAAAGCACTCCAGGTGCTGCCATATCTGTGGCCTCCGTGTATTTTTCTAATGCTTCTTCCTCCTTTGCTTCTTACTACAGAAGATTCATTATGGAAAAAAGAAAAAAAAGTGGAATGCCTTTGAATTAGTAATACTAAGAGCCCTGCATCAGGAACTTCTTTTCCAAAGGAAGCTAGTCCCTGCCACTAAAGGGAGCCATGTTATCTGATCCCTTCTCTTTTTTGGCTTTGCAAATTCATCAAACATTTGAAGCATTTGCTGATTTCATCTGTGTCAGAAGGATAAATCCATTTACATACTCAAGTACACAATACCTTGCAGAAATTTCTCTCCCATTCCTGCCCTTCCAGATGCTTCCTCTTCTTATGGAGTGGGTTCAGACAACATGATAGCGACATTCAAGGGCTGATTATGACATAAGTGTGGATTGTTGCTGAACTGTGGGCTTTTACTGAACTGTGAGTTATTAGCTGTGCTAACACCTTGGTTTATTAACCATGAACAAGACATAAAGAGGATTCATGGTTTGTTGCTGGGTTGTGAAATCTGGATTGTTCCCCATGGCTTGTTATCTCAGTCGAGTTCATACAGTAACTCACATATCAACAATAACCAACTCTTAACCCATACTTAACCCTTGAGAGTGGCTTATTCTGTTATCTAAATCAGTCACTCTTTCCATCTACGGTAATTAAAAATATTCACTAGTTATATAATTAGCAAATAACATATCCAAAGTGAAATAAAATGTCACTTCATTCACTTTGGAGGGAATCTGTTGTAATAGTTATTTGGAAAAGGGAGGCCATTAATAAATAGAAGAATAGGACCACAGGAAGCTGCCCTGTACAAGATTTGACTATTTATCCAACTAGGAGAGCACAGTCTGCTCTGAATACCAGTGGTCTCCCATAATCTCAAGCAGAGGGTCTTTCACGGCACCTCCTACCTGATCCTTACAACTAGATTGAATCTTTCCATAGCAGGTGGACTTCCACTATTTAATCAGTCCCCAGAATTTTCTATTTCTTGTTTTACAGTCTTTTAACACAAGTGTATATGCATCACAGAAGTGCAGAGCCATACATGCAGTTTATTTGATGATAACATAGAAGAAATGTCCAGGAAACGATCATGGCTCTTGCCCATCTAAACAGACATAAGATTATGCTCTAAATCCATCTTGAAAACAAAAATGGCACCTTGCCTTATATGGCAATGTTTGCTGTGAGATACACAACATCACTCGTTTCTAAAAAGGGGAGGGGGAATAGAAGTATAATGCAGTGGCAATATATGAACTGACCTGCAGAATGATCTCAGATTATCTCAGTGCTCCAATCCTCTGGTAAAATATATTTTTGTAATGGAAACAAAATATTGAGATGACAAGGTGTAAAATCATTCAGGCTACATTGTAGAAAAAAAATGTGCAGAGCATTGGCATCTAGCCACATATCCCCAAGATTGACTAGCCAGTGGGATTAGACAGACTTAATGTCACGTTTTCCATGGCATGACCAGCTGAGATTTCATGGCAAGCTGAGGTTCTAGTTAGCATTAGCCTGCATTAAGCATGTAAGAAGATAAAACAACAGCTTTATGAGCAAATGCACACTGGAATATTTTATGCCTTGAGAGATCCATGTGCAGGGGTACTTTTCCTTATACCATTAAAGATCTGAGAATAGCCACTATCTAATTAAGAAGTCCTGTACCATACATACTAGCCTTTAAATCATAGGACTTTAACTTTGATTTGGCTACTGAGTTTTAGAAACCAGTGACATTTTGTATCTCACAACAAAAAGCTGCCCCATCTCTAATCACCAGTTAGAGGCTCATGAATCCACATTTGTATCGGGAAACACCCTTTCTGCCATGTGTGTGTGTGGTGGAGACAAACAGGAGCAAAAGAAATGATGCTGGTGTGGCCACTAGTGAAACTCACCTAAAGTCTAAGCAGAAAGCATTTGTTGGACTCAACACTCCTGTTGAAATTACATGACATCTCTGGACACAGAAAGAGCAGGACTGGAAACTCCCTACAATTCTACGGCCTTTGAAACACTCTAGTAGTGAGTATGAGTACAAAAAAGTATGTCTTAAATGATCTGTTAATCTGAATTAATTTTTCTTGCTTATGCACCCAGAAAAGCACCTGAAACCCATGAAGTCAAACTGACTTGGAATGGCTCAAATGCATGAGTGTGTATGTGTGTACATGTATAGGGAGACTATTTTGAAACGACTGGAGTATTAAATTTTGTTGCAGGACTGCCTTTGCTTTGTAAGAAAAGGTAAAACATTTTAGAAGTGATGTGAGTTTGTCTGCATTTTTTTTTTAAAGAAGAGGTTAAACAAGCCGGGACATGGAATGGGTTGGATGCACGAACCCCACATACAGTGCTGCCTCTAAAGCTATTTTCAATAAGACTTGCAGACCACAGCACTGGAGGAGGAGTATCTGTATATAGTATGGTTTCTGTTGCAGAGAAACCTCAGAATTTAGCATGTTACAGCTTCTCACCATCAAAGTACACTTTGGGACAGAAATATCTTTAAGATCACTGTTTGTGTTTAAAGTTAGGTGCTCCTGAACATTTAGGGATACCACATAAATGTGCTCCACAGTACATACTAATTTCCATATGATTTGTCACAGACCATTGCAAATGATTTCTTTTCATTTCATTGCAAATTAAAATGACAGACTAACTAAAGGGTTTATTTAATTATTTAATTTAGAATGTCAGGTTCATTAGCATCTTCTCAAAAATGTATTGGATAATGGTGTTGCTATTGTTCACTAAAAGAACAAAACTGATTTTATGTATCACTGTTTTTAAACTGAAAGAGAAATGGTGCCATTCTTTTAAAATATGCCACTCATGTATGGTTAAAATCTTCAGACTTCTTTGCACTTAACAGACAATTAGCATAAACATTACTATTGCATACTTTTACAGTAACCTGTCCTACAAGTGAGGCTATTCTGGAAACAATTACACAGGAGTACTGTTGAAACTGAATGGCTGTGCCTTTCCAAGGTTACAAGCGGGAGACTTTCCAACCTTACCTAGAGACACAGAAACCCCTTACATTCCTGTTAAGTTCAAGAAATCCAAAATTATTCAGAATATCTTGAGAGCATCTCTGAATGTTCTTTTTGCACTATTGATACATTAAAACAACAGTATTTTAACTTGCTTAACGCACCCTAGTAAATACATGCACATGTACACACAAGTGCTCTCTCTCACAGAGAGAGAGAGAGAGAGGGAGAGAGAGAGAACAATTGGTCTCCAGTCTCCTGTATTAACTATTCAACTAATTAAAATGATAAGCATTGATTGAGAGGCAGACATTATATTTGATTCAGCAAAGTTTGCTGAATAGGGCAGACTTGAAATAAAATATTATTTATTATTTATTATTACTAATATATTATTTAAACATGTTGTCTCATTGTCTCAGTGCAAATCATCTTGATTCCGAACTGTGTGCTCATGAAAGAAGTTCTCATAGGATGGACTAATTTGCACACATGAACACACTTAAACAGTGTTCTTCAACTTGAAACTCTCCAGATGATTTGGACTTCAACTAGAATAGCCAATGGTTAGGAATGCTGGGAGTTGTAGTTCAGATTCTGGGGGTTACCAGGCAGAGGAAGGCTGCACTATAATATCTCATTGGCTTTAGTGAATTTTCTGTGAAATTTTTTCAGAGTACTCAGCACCACAGATAAAAACGGCAGAGTATCTAACTATATATAGACATGTTAGTGCTTAGATCAAATACTGAAATGGCAACCTTTCCCACCACGTTGGCCTGTGGAGATCCCAGGAATAAGCTCACCTGACAAGGCCTTGGTGACATGCATTATCGGTAGTGTCTGCCCATGGGATGGAGACAGTTTATATATTCATAAATATGCCTCTGCAATGAAACTCTATGTCATGTTCGCAGAGAAACTAAGTATCAGAAAAGCAGCTACAAACATAATACAGTCTGATTTGCAGAAAATAGTTCAGCTAACACGTAACTGGGTCACCTGGAGCTCGGAGTCCAGTGAGATTCAGAAAAGAATGCCTGAACATGGAACATTGCAAAAGAAGCAGCCTGAAAATGCCTTCTAACTTCTTTGTCCAGTGGAAATCATTTCCCTCTTCCCCAATATCTGTTCACTATACCAATATATTGATATATCTGTATATTCTGTATACAGATATATTTCAGTATCTGTTTCATATACCTGTATTCGTTTATTCCATCACTTCCATATAAACAGAAAAAGAGAGATGAAGAATATGATATGGGAAAAGGGTTGGTTTAAACTTTAGAATGGTTTCAGCTGTGGAGAAGTGTTAACCTCCTTGCTTCCAGATTCTGACCAGAGATTTAGCTCCTTCTCCTGGAAACCCTGAGAGGTTGAAACCTTGAAACTTTACGAGGTAAAAACCTTGAAACTTTAGGTCAAACTGGGAACGAGATTTATTACCTCATCAGCTGACTCTTATCTTCCCAGAATGAATGTACAGT